AGACCCGAAAAACAGATAGAGATCGCTGATGCTCTATCTAGATTGTCTCCTGAATAGAATTACCCCATCCGAAACATGAACGTCGGGATCCATCTGGTGTGTCCACAGTTCAGTAACAACATGCTAGACAGGATCCTGGTACCTCAAAACCCTGACCCTGTTCCAGAGTGAAATCGCTGAAAACTATACCCTGTTCCAGAGTAAAATCACTGAAAGCGATACCCTGGTTGGCGGCACGTCACCGTATAGTGAATATAGGGGAGTAACCCCCCCTCCCCCCCTCGGGTTAGTGCGAAATCTGTCAAGAACTACAAAAGAGTCAACAAAAGCAACCACGTATCCAAACGGAAATCCCATCACGTGCGTGGCATACAGTTGCGACGGATCTATTCTATTTAGATGGAGATGAATACTTACTTATGGCCGACTACTACTCCAAGTACACATTCGTCAGGAAACTACCCAAGCAATGTCCCAGTAAGAAAATAATAGAACTGATCAAAGAAATCTTCAGCAAACATGGAATACCCAAGGTTGTACGCTCAGACAACGGTCCTCACTACGACAGTTACGCATTCAAAGAGTTTGCAGAACAATACGGATTCCAACACATCACAAGTTCTCCACACTACGCACCTAGCAAGTCAAGACCTATCGAAGCAAGTCAAGACCGTAAAAAAGACCTTACAAAAKCACAATCAACTAAGGCAGATCCACACATTGCAATGTTCAACCTAAGGTTTACAWCCATTGACAACAAGCTGCCCTCAACTGCAGAAATTCTCCTAGGCAGATCAATCCAAGATAACCTTCCARGGAAGATTGCGAGAGCMCCTMCAAGTGATGAAGTTACGGAACACCTGTTACATGGACAGCAGCAGCAAAAGTACTGCTAAGATAGGAGCTGCAAAGTTATGCCACCGCTACTTCCAAACCAGGAAGTTCACTTGCAAGATCCCTCATCACTCAAATGGACGCCAGCGACCTTAGAGGACAAAGTCGAATGCGTATCGCGGGCTTACTATAATCGCCGAAACGAAACGAAACGAAACGGTAATCTGTATTCAACGAAACGAAACGAAACGAAACGGGAATCTGTATTCAACGAAACGAAACGAAACGAAACGGGAATCTGTATTCAACGAAACGAAACGAAACGAAACGGGATTAGCTCTCTAGATATACAATGTATTTTGAGAAATCTTTAAAAGTGTAAACACAATAAACATCACGCACACGGCAATAATGCAAACGTGACTCAATCGGGCTAGTTTAAGTTAACGAGCTTTGCTTAAAGGATATTAAACCGTTCACTCTGATAGTCTTTCCTTTTTCATACTTGCGCTATAAAACAAAGTAAAAATATGAATAGACTGATTCTAATTGTAGTAATTTTAAAAAGTTCAAGAGTCAGACAGTTTGCAAAGCCGGCATAGTTGGCGTCGCGCCAGCTTGTGCCAGCGATGTCAACACGGCTACATCTTTGACCTCTGAAAACCATGGCCGCTTCAATCTTCATTTAGGAATACTCCTGCTTGAATACCAATGTTTTCTTTAATCCAGAAGAGACAGAATTTAGGCTATCCGGCAAATCAGACTCAGACGGTCACGTTGCGGCATCACTGAGCTATACGACCGAAGTATCGGTTGATATCTCGCCAAGGAAAATGCACTGTTTGGCTCGATACACCAACCTTTATGACCTAATCCAATGTCTTAATATATGCTCTTACACAAATGAATACTTTGGAATAACAAAAGGCTCGAATCTCAAAGAATTAGCTCCATTTCGGCGATTATAGTTACCCACACGGCTAACTATAATCAACGAAACGAAACGAAACGAAACGAAACCTCTCCCCTCCCCCCTCAGTTATCTCTTTTGTTTAGAAAATTTACATATTGGAGAGGGAGGG